GAATTAGCCATTTCCGGCTTACTAGCTGTCGTCAGCCAGTCATGCTCAGCCTCAAGTGGTGAACTACCCGAGGTTCGACCTCGTGACCATTTTGAGCAGATTTCAGCGCCCTAACCACTGAGCCACGAGCTCGCTGTCTTGCCGGTTTAGATTGAGACATATTCATATTCATTGATGAATTCGTTGGTAAATAGACCTTGATCGACGCCGACAGTCTATGTACTGATTACTGACAGGGCTGCTTTAGCCCAGACTACTGAACGGCTAAGGTAAATTTCCCTTTTATAGTCAAGAACCGAACTTTCCTTCCTGTGTAGCTACCACCCTCGAAAATTAGACTGCCTGTCAACATACAGATCTGGATCGTTTAAGTGGTACTTATTCTCGTCGATGAACGTTCACAGACTGCTTGCAGAAGTTACTTCTCTCTTTTTGTTTTGAATCTCAGTTATCGGGCCCTGGAAGCAGCCGTAGCGGCTAGTAGTCTTAGGCAGATAGTATTGTAGGCAAAGAGAAGGGGGACTGGAATAGCCATTTCTGGTTTTATAGTTGCCTTCAGCCCATCAGCTAGGCTCAATACTAAGGGCGTTAGACAGTGATCAAAAAAATCGCCAGGTCGAGCCTCGGGTGGCGCATCACTTGGGGATGGGTTTGACTGGCTGACGACAACGGCCATTCTAGTTTCCCTTCCCTTGCCGACAATACTATCTGCCTAAGCCGCTATGGCTGCTTTCAGAGCTCGAGAAATGAGACTCAAGGCAAAACGAAAGAAGTGGCTTCCGTAAGCGGTCGCCGAACGTTCATCGACGAGAATCAGCATCACAAAAACGATCCGGATCTTTATGTTGACGCGCAGTCTTATCCTCGAGGGTGGGAGCTACACATGAAGGAAAGCTCTTTTCTTGACAATAGAAGGGAAATTTCCCTTAGATCTTCAGTAATCTGGGCTAAAGGGATCCTGTCAGTAATAAAAACCTAGGCTGTTTATGAAGGTGTATTTACCAGTATATGCAATGACGGCTGTTACTTCCATCTATCTTTTTACCGCCTTGAATCTACCTATTTCAGCTGTTATAGTAGTATAAACGTCAATTTTTCTTTTGTACTTTTTGGAATTCATCTCACGCATAAGTTAGTAATTGCTGTATATACTGTCAGCCGACGTAACCTCTCTGTCAAAGTCTGCTGTAATGAGCGGGAATCAAGCCATATACTACGCACGCTGACGTGCAATATCGTGGCATTGAATGGCTTCCCGACTCGGTTATTGGACCGCAGCTTGCCAGTAGGAATGGATATTGAGGCCGGTTCTGAGGAATTTGACCCCACATCGGGTAAGTGGGCCACCAGACACAAGCTTACAGGTCTGGAAACTATTCACGTGCGCTAAAAGCTGTCACTTGGAAGGCCGATAGCTAACAGCTCTCTCAGAATGGAAAGCCAGACTCTAATGGCTCTTCATTTATATGGTCTCCATGGCAATTCTACTCAGATGGGACCCTACCCAGGTGTTTATTATGGTTATAAAAATCTGATACATCGTGCACGGGACAGGGTTATGTGGCATGCATTAACGGACTGCTTATTTGTGGCAGATGTCCTGTCTGATCCCGCCTCCGGTCTTCCTGACTATATCTTGAAACCGGACCCAAGTGTGTGATTAAAAACAGAACGTCGCAGATGCAGCGGAACTCTACCATTATGCAAACCCCTGCTTCCACCTATTGCGGATGACCTGCGCCATGCAATGGAGTGATCGAAATTTTAGTAAGGGGGTCAGCGTACATTTAGTCTTCTTATTTTAATTGATTTGGTGATTTTAGGGTCAGAACGCCACTTTTAAGGAAAACAAACCGGATATGGACGCGGTTAGAGATTACACCACATCCAAGAAATGTCAAGTGCTATTTAATATCATCAAGTAAAACTTATGGCGTTTTGTTTTGTATTATAAAAGAAAATGAATATAAGCTAGAGTGGTTTTAGATAAACCCCTTCATTTAAAAGCAGATAAAAGCAAATGTCAGAAATTGAATTGTTTTCCAAAACAAGGAAAATGTAGCCCTTCTTTTGTGCGAACCCTTGATATTTTTGTGAAAAAGCATGGTTATAAACTTGTTCGGTCGCCTTTTTACTTCGCCGAGAACGAGAGCCGCTAACAAAATAAGTGTATTTTGATGTGAAGATAGACGAAAACAAAAGGTTATGCTAAATTCTTAGTCTTTGGTGAGGTAATGGTTTGTATAAAGTAGTTTTTGTTAACGTGTAATTTAGAAGCAAGACACGCTTAAAGGTAAATTATTTTTGAAAAAGTATGGTTTATATTCACTTAATCAGAAAATTTTCATGGAAGTAAAAACGGCCAGATTCCACTATTTTCTATTTACTCAACCTTGGAGAAAGGTAACATACGCAAACATTCATCAGAGAAACACCCAAAGGAAGTACTTTTTGACAGGTAACTTATTAGAGAATGTTTTTAAATAGTTTTAGGCACAGTAGTTGCTGACTATTTCCGCGAAAAGTTCAGTTTTTTGCGTTAATTAGTACTCATGTTTACGTGATTCTATAAATAGGGTACAAACGATCGTCTGCATTAGAAATTGTGTCCAAAAACTAATAATATCAATGCATGCTGCAGGAAGTATCAACACACAGAATGAGATCTAGGTTTGTGGACAGTTGCTTAAAAACAAGGTATACCGTGAAATATTCATCGGCGTTTGAAGGACGAGGGAAATCAAATAGTAATACAATATTAGAAATAGCTAAAAAGGAAATTAGACAAAAGGATGACATTCTTACTATATAAAAAAACGTACGTTTGCGCTTGCATCTCACTATTTTATTTTGATTCGCTAGTCACAATTACAGCGCCCCTTCGCCTTTTCAAAATACACCGCTTTTAAAAAAAGTTAGTCTTTTTGAACAATTTAACATCGGTTTTCATGCATTCTTGAAGTTTTAAATCCAAATGAGATAGCTCACCAGTATTTAAACCATGGGTATATTTATTGATGCTGGTTGGATAGTCATTATCAAAATTGCATAGGTTTCGATAAAGGTATCTTCTGCATGTGTTGCGTCATAATGTGTATAGCAGCGTTTTCTCCGGCTATATTGACAGTGAAGCAAACAGTTTTACCAATGGATACAATTATAAGATAGACGGTGGACAAATAAGACCTTATGAAGTCTGGAAATGACTCTGTCTCTTAGACATTTCCATTTTCCATAGTTTCCTTTCCATAATATTTTAAGTTTGCATGTACTTTTCAGGACGAAATCTAGGATAAGCCATTTCAGGTCAGTGTCATATGAGTGTTCTGAATCATTTACCAATATGACGTCAGAAGTTAAACCCCAGCGTGGAGTTGTGCGTGACTGGCTAGTTGTAGGCCGTACCTTATATACCTAAAATTACCACAGGATTCAAAGATGCGTCCAGAATGTTTCAGTGGAATGCGTACAATGAAGCGATACATTTACAGTTCAGTCTATATAAGACTTGCTTGCGAGTACTTATTTTTTTGGTCTCTTCTTCTTTTTATTGGCAGTCGATGTTAAGAGTTCATAATAGGAAGTAAAAACGACGTATAATTTCAGAGGTGTGCGATCGCTTTCAGTTTAAATTTTCGTGCCAGGAAAAGTTTCCGTGGGGTGAGCGGGAAATCAGTGCTGAGAAGCTGCAATGTTATATAAGAGCAGTCAGAATGACAGTCGTCTGAAAATTTCAGGTGCGTTCCTGCTAGGTATTTTATTTATTTCAAAAAACGGGTGAGCTGGATGTACCATTAAGTCCTTGTTGCAGTAAAATGTACTCAAATTCCAGATTTAAAAATTCCCGTGTGATGTCATCGGCACTGCGCACGACAGTTCCTTTAGCCTCATTTTTGTTCGGTTGACCGGTCGTCTACGTTATCTTCCAAAACTATTTACAATTACCATTAACTTTAATAAAATGCAGACTAAACTCTTCAAAAATGCCAATTACGTGGGCTGTATGTCAACTACGGAAAAAGGAGAAATTATCTTTTAAGCCAGGTTTAAGAACTTCATTCCGTTTACCTCCACCCATATAAAGCTTTTTGTGCTTGCCACCAACAGTAGTGCAGCATTTCTCTAATCCTAGGCAAAATTGTCTAGTCTTTCAGGACATATAACTTAGAAATTATTTTCCAGGAAATGAAGACCCCATGCATACAGAAATTTTATAAGGGGAACTGTGTAATTTGCAGCAGTTAGAAAATACAAATTTAAGCCTTCACGTATTTCTTCCAATTCAGCAGGATTTATTCTTTACTGAAAGTTGTTCATGGGGTGTAGTGTTTAGCAATGAATTTGATTTCAACATAGCACATCATCGAGATGTTGAATAACCTCGTGAAAGTATTCCACCCCGCCGTCATTTTAAAGGTTTCCTAGACAGGGTAGGACGTACGAAAGACTTTCATACAGGCCATAACATTTTAATATACCATAAAATGACAGTAGACGTAATTTTGTTTGATGATAATCCATAAATTTGCCAAAAGCCTAGAAAACTAAACCCATAGGGCGATATCTTCTGAAAAATACATCATTCTTGTTGAACTGTAATACGCCGACCGATAAATGAAAGCATCTTTTTAAAAGTTTAAGCAGACCATTTATAAAGATTTTTGAATAGCAAAATAGCGTTAGTGGTACCGCTTTTACTTATCTTCTCGGAAATAAATACACAACGTGAGTGTAGATCGTTCGAATTAAGGTTTTTTCAATAGCAGTCTAAAATCTGATATGAAAACTTGAACTAAAATCCATCTGCTACCGCTGACTACCTATCTACTATTCGCAACCTTTTATTCAACTAGTAGTGTACCAATATTGCAGGATATGCCATGTGGACCGCACAGGTACCAGTTATAAACATGCGTACACCTGTTCTACCGATCACGGACGGCCTCATTACATAGCTGCGATGGGTACAGCTTCTGATTGTGACTTCCAGCCTTCATTCTATGCTTTCTGGAAACTTCAAGTTCGATGCTGCCTTTTGCAAATTCCACTGGTCAGATAAAACCATCGCAGTGACAAATGGTAAGCAACAGAAACTGATTCTGCTAGCCGGCCGCAACAGTGGTTACGATAACTCTATGTCCCCGCAAAAGTGTCCTGAACTCGGAAGTGTTGTGTCGCCTAATGGCCACTTTGCCCACAATGAGCACCCACATGTCGTGCCATAAACCTGGACCACTTCTCGTGGGCTACTGATTTTCGAATACAGGAAAGCCATTTGACACTAAAGACGATTATCTAAAGCTTGGACTATGTACGTTAACGGAGAGCTTCGCGAATTAAAAAAGTTAATGCCTATATAACTGTCATTATTCAGCAGACTACCGTCTAAGACCTGGATCTGTATATGGTTAATTAAGTAAACCAAACGCTTCTAGTCTGTTTCTTTGCTAGAAGCAGAAAAAACATTCATAACATATGCACAAAACACATTCCTTTGCATACAGCATGTGAACTGTTGACCCAAATGCAAATATTTTCAAGCATTGAGAACCATCAGTATGCATCCTACGGATATTCATACCTGATGGAAGGCGAGCAAACAATATGTCTTACAATATGTTTTACACCTATCACGCAATTATACTACCACTGCGATTTTAACTGGACCAATTTCCTTGGCGATAAATTTAAAACACCTTTTGATTACTTTTTGATTTTCGGACTTAGTCACTTAAGTTTTAATCTAAAACGCCTACATTCTGGGAGTGTCCCAAAAGGCGAAAGTAACCCAACAGTTTTGACATTTACTGTTAAAGAAATTTGCCCAGTTTAGATTTCAATTTTTCCAAGTCAAACGAAAATGCGAGTCCGAGGAATTAACTGAAAAGAAACAGATGTTGTCGCTATAAAAAGAACTTTGTTCGCCCGATGTTTCATAGTCCGTCGTGGAGTTGCCGTAGTTATAAGGTACAGTCGCTATGCGACTGCATACATATGGCAATTAAGGCCGCCCCCCTATCCAGGATATTTGTCTTTCAATGTCCTAATTGCTTGATGGCCGGCATGCGAGTCGCATCCTGCTGAACATTCCTCAACCATGCTCGAATTGAGTGTGATGATTGTTCGGCTGTCTGGCTCCCTGGCGCTGGCGTTAGAACATACGGTCGCCTGCGTGCTCCCCAAATGGCGAATTGCCTGAGTTAAATTGAGACTCACTACCGAATATGGCTGGAGCTGATCATTGCTCTTGTTTATAGACTGGGGGGTGGGGCTGTAAACCATGATTCAAGCATCTCGCGACCCACACGACTGTAACGTCTCGCAGGCATTTTGGCCGTATCAAATTCGCCACTCCGAGAGCGCTCGGTCGAACGCATCTCCCAACACTAGTGCCAGATGGCCGAACAATTATCACGCCCACTTGCTTGGCTTCTGTAAAGTATCGCCAACGTGTGAGCTAAAAGACATAGTAAATATTAGCAGCTGAAGAGAGCATCTAGAGAATACGTTTAAATAGTAAACAATTATTTTTAAGCAAGGCCGGAAAAATAGCCGGAGTAAATAATGAGCGGGAGAATGCAGGCATCTATAAATCACGAGTCGCATGTGTAGGATAGGAATGTAGTCGACGGATATGCTAAAGGAGTCTGTGAATTTAAGTAAAAAGGATATAAATATTAAGAAAAATGAAAGATTAAATGTTCAAGTAACAACAAGGTAGCGGAAAGAGGGTAGATCGCTGGGTAGGATGGAAAGAGAGAAGACAGAGGGAGATATATGTTTTATTTTCAAGGTAAAGAACCTAACTTTTGAGAAAAAGTCGCTCCATTCACGGAGAGCAAGGAATAATGTAAAGCAAAAGGTCATAGAATAGACAAAGTTTAAACATATATACGATATCCACAGCTTCTATGGAGACAGATCTAAAAATGAACAGGCCTTTAAAGTGGGAAAAGTGACTGGAGAGCAGTAAAGAAGGAGGAGAATGCAGGCATCTGCACATCGCCAGATTAGGGTTTTTGGTGTGCGATATGAACGCAAACGGCGGATAGTATATAAAATTTTACGGATTTCAATAAAAAGGGTCTTTAACATGAAGCGTAAATGAGAGGCTAGATGCCAGAGTAACACCAAGCTACTGGAAACAGCATAGCTCATTGAGCAGAATGTCAATGGATTCAGGACTGGGAGAGGGTCGCAGTCGAAAAACACACTGGACTGACTTCGGGTCGTTAAGCAGAAGATTATTTGCTGATGACAATGCTGAAACGTCGTCCAGGCCATCTTTCACTACTTGGAGATGTATTTAACGTTTAAGAGGATGGCCAACAACCATATCATCAGCATATTTAAGGTACAAGCATCCATTTGACGATCGTAGGTTGTCAGTGTGGGGGGAGATGTTAAGAGGTAATATCAACCCCTGGAGAATACCACAGTTGTTGGAAAGGGCCGTAAATTTTCGCTTGCCGCACGGGATAAATTGAGTGCGGGAAATGAACTAGTTCCCAAACCAAGAAACAGCCCAATCGAGATAGCCGCATGCAGAAGTTTAAGTAAGAATAAACTGGCGCGGGATCTTATTAAGGGCTGAGGCGCAGTCAAGAAAAGTATATGGGTATGCACGGCAGCCCTTATCTAAATCTCTTAGAGCAGAATCGACTACCAGAGCACCAGTGTCTAGTGTACTACGTTTAAACTTATATGCAAGTTGCAGGGGATCGTGAAAGTCGGAGAAGAACGGCGTAATTCTGTCCAAGGTAACTCGTTCTGAAAGTTTCAGTATTGCAGGAGAGCAGGCAATCAGAAGAAAGGATTTGGGACCAAAAGTGTAGGAGTTTTGGGATGGGAATGATTCTCACTGAGCGTCGATCATCGGGAATCTTGGACTTCATGACGGATAAGTTGATGATATGTGTCAAAACAGCGGCTAACTGAAAAGAGCAGGATTTTAGGAGAAACAAAGAGCCGTCATCTGGCCCGGCAACTGTTGAATCTCGAGCCATTTTAAGGCGGTTCATCACTGCTGCCATAGACACAGGAACAAAGACGCTTTGTAATAAGGAAATACCGTTTGTCGAAAGGAGTCGGTGGAAGTGTGGATGAAGTTTGCATTCAAACAGTCTAAGACTAAGTTGGCATCGACATGTGCTAGTGTATTGCGTTGACCAGTGAGACGCTTAAGACTCTTCCAAATTTCATCCGAGGAGAGAGGAGACGAAGATCTAGAAAACGTTAAGAGCTAACTAACAAAAATGTCGTTCAGCCTCGAAAACTCACGTTTTATTAAAAAGTTTACATCCTTTGGTCTTTCGCGTAGACCTAGTTTGTAAAACAGTTCCTTTTGGTGCCTCAATGTTTTTTTTACATAGGAAGAAGACATTCTGTCAGGTCTAACCATAACAGCGTCAAGAGAACAGCATATATTAAAAATTTCGTTTAAAAAATATACACGGTAACTAGAGCACGACCCGACTTTCGAGTGTTCAAGAAGGGCAGAAAGGTTTTCAGATATGCTAATCGGAGGCAAACAATTATTACGTGGGGATGTGTCACGAACCTTAAGTTCCCTCTCGGGTTTTGCTGACGGCGCTTTCTTAGAACTGAAATAGATGGTTGGCAAGCTCGATAACAGAGAATGGTCTGAGCCTGACAACAGAGCTCTATTTTTGACAGTAAAAGAGCTTCAGATAGTTGGTCAATATGTAATCAATAGGGGCGTCAGCATGAGTGTTGAAGGAAACTAGTCGGCAAAACCTAATAACCTACGGGGGCGTAGGTTCACGCTGTTGAAGTTACCACATAAAATAAATAAATGCGGTAAGTTTAAGGGAAAGAAAATGAAAAAAACTGGATTAAAGCACCTTGGCATCTAGAGGGGGTTGTAAATGCTGACGTAACTAATGCCTTTAGAACTGCTTAACAGTCGGGGCTTACAGATTGCAGCAATAGTGCCTATTAAGTCATCCGAATAAGAAAATAAGGACTTACAATTTATGAACCATTGCTGGTATACAAAGCCAATCCACCACCTCTGTTGCTGGGTAAGGATTTTGGGCCCGTACGAAAACAACAAAAATACGGCGGTGTAATACATTGCGACTCGATATCACTATTAAGCCAAGCCTCTTAAAGACAGATAAGTGCAGACTTACTGTGTTCTTCTTTCAACGCATGTGCCTCCAATTCGTCGCTTTTCTTAAAAAGAGAGTGAAAATTTGTCGACATAAATGCTGAAATTGACATAGGTGTCAATTTTTGGCATTTCATTGCATTTTGCCATCCACAACCGTGTTTTTTCGTCGTATGATCATTTTACGGACAGACTGTGGCGGTGATGGGTTGCAAATGCGACAAATAGGATGCAAAATGCAACAGCTCGCATCATGGACTGTCCTCAATAAAAGTTGAAGTTTTCGCCCATTTTAAAAGGTACTAGTGTACTGTAGAGATGGCCGCATGATGATAGACTCAGACGAACAAAGCAGAGAAATATACAGGGTCGTATACAATAATAAATTCTCACGTGAGTGGAGAGCAAATAAAAAAGGAACCTCCACTTCGAAAGCCCGCCTGCCCAAAGGCTTCGAGATTAGGAGAGGGTCGCAAGTGGCAAATGTACTGGAGGAACTTTTGCTTTATTCGGGTTATTCAGATTACCAGATGGATTGCTTTGATTATTCAGAACATCGGCTAACGACCATATTGTGACGTGGTCTAGGCCATATTTCAGAACCTGCAGATGTGTTTGATCTCTGAGGTAATGACCAACAACAATATCATCAGCATACAGCGCGGTCGGTATTTCATGCAAAATACCAAAGTTTGCAAAGGAGTATAAAGCACTCGCAAACCGGCATTGACGCATGTACGAAAACATTTAAATAATCATGCACAACCTTCGGCGAATTGGATATTCAAAACAAATATGAAGTACTTATTGGGTAATAGGAAAAATAACATTTTCTTAATACTCCAGTTCCGTAAACTTTTTAAATAGCTATAGGTAAGACTGATATATTTAAATCTGATCGTCACACGAATGCCTTAACTTACTATTTTCTTTATTTTAAAATAAGCCTTCTTTAGTCAATCTTCCTCATGCACATTTAAGGTATTTGGTTACAATTATTTTATGATCTTCCTTTAAATGCCTTTAAATTTTCAACCATTTACAGTGTTTCGAAACTTTCTTCCGAAAAGCAAGACTCTGTTCTACCTCTAT